GAGAGACACTTTAATGTATTCATTCTTGAGAAAAATGTTTTTCACTATTTTATTGCTTCACTAAACAGTGTGTAAAGAACATGTGTTTCTCCTTTGTCTGCTTTGCTTCTTTAAGAGTTTTTGAGGTTGGTATAATTATCAAATATCTATTTTGCTCTCTGCTCTAACACAAGCATGTCTTTCTAGACCATTTGGAGAGCTAGAACTCTTTGCCGTTTCTTTTAATGGCCCCGGGTTGCTCTGACTTTTCTATTTCTTGTGATTGCTCCTTTTGCCTTCTCTTGTCTCCCTCTGGGTAATGAACCCTGTACATACCTGTTTCTAGTTAGCTCTTCTTTCAGATAGCACATTTGACCTTCTCAACTTTTGAATTTTTGACAATTCCTTTGGCTAGCTAAGAATTTGTGTCATTTATTTTCTCGTTGGCTCAATTAAGGTTGTGTGGTATCACAGTATATATTAATTCTAAATAACTTAAATGCTTTATACTAAAAGTTTGTTCACCTGCATAATATGTTTATGTATTATTGAGTTCTTTCAATGTAATGGAACTTCCCATATCATAAAGTCAAAAGAAAAATCAAACTAAGACTCAGGGGTGTATGGGAGCTGTTTGGCATCAAGTGGCTGGACCTCACTGTGAGTCTTTGCTCAATTTTGTGCAGAGCGCCTTTTTGTTTCGTGACATCACATTGGGAGTTGGAAATCAGATTTGGCAGCAATAATTACATCACTGCAAAAGCTACAAATTAGGGCTTCCTGACTGTCTTTCCTTTCCCCGCCAGAAGTGGTGGTTAAACCTTTGCTAGCACACGCCACTGGGCTTGCCTTTCTCCAGGCTTTTTAAAACCCTGATTCTTGGGCTCAGCCTGCAGGGAGAAAATGAACATTGCATATGGTCCAGTGATCTACAACTGCTTTTCCTCATGTACCTCCAAAAAGAATTTTGAAAAAACCTGTAACTTCTTGCGCATTTTAAAAATCACATCTAAACTTTGTATTGTTTTATTGTTGAAAATAATGTAATTTCTGCTAAATCTTAATATTGTCATTTAACCTCATCCAATGGGATATAAATATTATAATAATTTGATACTGACCACCATCTATGTTAAATACTTAATCACATTTTTTAAAGAACTGGAAAATTTGCATTTTTTTTTTTTTCTTCTAGAACTGATGTTAGGCAACTGGTGTTTAGGAGGTATGAAGCATTTGTGCTTACTTCCCTCCGATTACCTCTCAGGCTGGGCTGTTGTAACTTGTAACCTCCTCCCAAAGTTAGCTTGTTATTTGTAATGCTTTAAATCCATGGTAGGGGGAGGGAAGCTTGGTATATAGTCTGAGTTAGCTATTAAATGTCAAAGCCCTCACAGCGTTTCCTAATTATGGGTCTCATCAGAATCACCTGAGCTGCAGCTCCGCTCCCAAACGAATGTTCTTAGCTCCTGCCCTTAACTGCTTCTCATGTAGGCAAATGTTTACTGCGGGGAAGCCAGTCAGAAAACCGAGAATTGGTTCCTCTTTATCTCTGCCTCAAAGGAAAGGTTTAATGGGTGTCCAACCCTTAAAGGCTGTGCGATCCCAGGGAATCCTGGTAAACATGTCCGAAGAGCTAATCTCCAGCTGTTTATGATACCTCTAACTTGGCAAGCTCCCCAGATAAATTTTATAGAAGACTGATTACTGTGAGGGAGGGGAGAATGGGAGAGCGTCCACCTTCACCCAGGGGAGCCTTATAGGATGGACTTCTGCCCTCTTCTTCTCCCTTCGCTTTGACAAGTGGGCCAGCAGGCCATGCCAAGCAGGTAAGATACTTGCCCCAGGGCTCCATGTAGGACCGGAACCCTCAGGAGGGCCTGGCTAGAGCCAATCTGGCCAGGGTGTCTGGGCGCCAGGGTGTCCGGGCCTCCGGGTGCTTTTTGCCTTTAGCTTTTCTGATTCCAGGGCCAGGCCTTTGTGTCTGCATGTGCCGGACTTTGCATATGGGCTTGGGCTGTAAAAAAGTCATTGCTGAGGCTGGCATTGCTTGCTGCTAGTGGCAGACAAAAAGCCTGGCATGATTTAGTGTATAGGAGAGGGCCTCCAATTGTTGAGAGCATGAAATCTGGTTTGAGATTCTGACTCTGCCATGAAAAAGTCACCTGAGGAGGTGCATGTTGCTGGCCAGGCACTTTAGGAGGCCGAGATGGGTGAATCACTTGAGGTCAGGGGTCCAAGACCAGCCTGGCCAATGTGGTAAAATGCTGTCTCTACTAAAAATACAAAAATTAGCCCGGCGTGGTGGCATGTGCCTGTAATCCAAGCTACTTGGGAGGCTGAGGCACAAGAATCGCTTGAACCTGGGAGGCGCAGGTTGCGGTAAGCTGGGATTGCGCCAGTGCACTCCAGCCTCGGTGATCTGGGTGAGAGAGCGAGACTCAGTCTCAAAAGAAAAAGAAAAAAACCCTGCATGTTGCGACACACTGCATCCATCCCACAGTCTAGGCTCTCTAAATCAGGATCACCTGCACTGTGTATACTACTAGCTCCTTGTGTTTCCTCTTTCTCTTCGTCCACTAAAAACCATTGTCCGAGACCTCTTGCAGTCTGCATTTGCTTGTTTCAAGGAAAAACATTTATATTGTGTGACTTTAGGCTAAAAGTAATGTCAGTGCCATGCAACTATAATTGTTTGTTTGTTTGTTTGTTTTTAAATATGGGTCTCACTCTCTTTCCCAGTCTGAGTACAGTGGTGCAGTCACAACTCACTCCAGCCTTGACCTCATGGGCTGAAAGGGTCTTCCCACCTCAGCTTCCTGAGTAGCCGGGACTATAGGCACATGCCATTGCAGCAGTCTAATCTTTCATTTTCTGTAGAGTCAGGGTCTCATGGTGTTACTCAGGTTGGTCTTGAACTCCTAGGCTCAAGCAGTCCTCCTACCTCCGCCTCCCAAAGTGTTGGGATTACAGTCATGAGCTACCAAATCTGGCCACAAAAATATAATTTTAAGCAAGAAAAGTGTTGGCTAATGACACTATTCACTCGTTCAAGATTTATTCAGCCACTCTTATAATGCCAGACACTATTTTCAGCCCATGGAGTAGTCTCTGCTCTCATAGAGCTTACATTCTAGTGGCAGTGGGGTGGCTGGATGGATATTGTAGAAGGGACAGTAAGCAAGTAAGCAAATAGGGGAATAAGGTAATCATAGTTACCGAAGTGGTTTGAAGAAGGAAGAACAGACAATGACAACAATATATTGATTTTGGAGTATTAGAAATTTTCCATATGGTGGTTTAGTTCCTTGCTTGTACATTGTTTTTGGAAATACCATTTTGAGCATACATCATCAAAATAAAAAGCTAACTCCGTGTTTTTGGTGTCTAATTGTTATAATATCATATTTTAGATACAACAGTGAAATCATAGCAGACCTAATAATTATAGACCCTAAACCTAACAGTAGTTAAAGCAAGAAAAATGCATAATAAAGAATACATGGAAGACAGAGCAGCAGTTGCAACGAGCCTGTATTTCTTTTACTATGTTACAGGTAGTAGAGACTTCTCAAGTCAGTTTATGAAAATGTGTTAAAGTCACTATGACAGTTTATTGTATAATTTTATTCTATTTTATACCAAAGAGATCTACTCATGATAAAATTGGGTTCAATAAGATTAGCCTTTTAGGAGGTGAATAATTGTCTAACATTCATTCATTTACTAAAAATTATTGATGAGATATTGGTATGGGTTGGACAAAGATAAATGATGCAAGATTTCTGCTTTCAGTGAGAGTATAATCTGACAAAAAGAATGCAATCTGCATTTAAACTTCTTTGGTGAAAGGAAGATTATGTGGATCAAGGTGGGGACATGAACAAAATGAGGATTCAAAGATAGGGGAGTTCACTTTTAGTAGGAAGGACCAAGGAAAAGTATCATGAAGTGAAAGAGACTGAGGAGGACCTTAAAAAAAAGGGCTTATCATTGGCTGGACATTAGCAGTGAAGAGTATCCATGTAGAAAATGTAAAGTGAGCATAAGTATGCATTTAGGAAGCTATAAGTCTGTTTAAAAAGCAGATAGTAGGTCATAATGACTGGAGCTTATGAGGAATACAGTTAACCCTTCACAACACAGAACTATGGTGGGCTGATCCCCACAGAGTCAAAAACTTTCTTATAACTTTTGACTCCTACAACATGTAACTACTGATAGCCTACTGTTGACCAGAAGCCTTAACAATCATATAAACAGTCAATTCATACCTCATTTGTATGTAACATGTATTATATACCATATTCTTACAACAAAGTTAGCTAAAGAATAGAAAATACCAGTATGAAAATCGTAAAGAAGAGAAAATTCGTTTACTAGTCATTAAGTGGAAGTGGATCACCTGCTCATTGTCTTCACGCTGAGTAGGCTAAGGAGGAAGAGGAAGATGAGTGGCTGATCTTGTTGTCTCTAGGGTGGCAGAGGTGGAAGAAAATCTGCATATTCACGGAGATTTAAACCATGTGGGTTAAATTTATGCAGTTTAACCCCAGGAGTCCTGCAGTTTAAACCCAGGTTGTTCAAGGGTCAACTGTAGCATGAAAAACTTTGGGAAAGGTTAGCTGATACCATAGAAACCTCAGGAATAATCCCCAAGTGGAGTCTGAGACCCTCTGTATAATGATTTTTTTTTTCATATGAGTTGCAGATGGGATTTAAAAGGCTATGAGTATTATCTGTGGTTTTTAAGCAAGGTTTTTTTTTCAAGATGTTTGTGCCTCTTCTCAAAGATAAATTGCACACCTACAAAAAGACTATAGAACAAATATGATTTGTAAATTCCATATTGAAATTACTTCTTGGTTTAAAAATTACACTTGCTTCAAACATTCTGTTTAAAAATTACGTTTTTAAAAGAGCATGGTAAGAGTTGTAAGTTGATGCCATGATGAGAATATTTTCTCTGCCATTAGCAAAGCAATGAAAAGATGAGAACACCTTCTTTCTTTCTTTGCCAGGTTCACAGAGGCTGGGTTACAAAGCAAGGGCAGCCCTGCACCATTTCCTGATTGCAGAGAAAACAGCTGTTGCTCTGGGGCTGATTTCATACAGCTGGAGAGCTCCAACTTCAGGTAGCAGGTAGGAAAAGTACTGGAGAAATCCGGGCATTATTTATACCACTTTGAGGAAAGCATAAATAGAGAGTGAAACGCGTCTCAGTCTCTTGGTGTCTTGTAATTTTGAATTTGTTGTACTGAACAATTGAAATCCTGCATGGCTGGAGGCCAGATTTTCCTGAATTTTAATGTTAGACTGAGGAGTTTCAGCTTTGTTTTAACAAATAAAAGGCTTGAGAAATAGGCATTTTTGGCTCATGCTGTTGTTTTGGTTACAAGAATGACTTGTTCAGAGTTGTATATTAAAGCATACTCAATGTTTATGTGAAAAATAGAGTTGGAGGATAAGAAACTTCAGGGCTTATGCCCATGTAATTTGAAATATTTCCCCTTACAAAGAGGCCATATTTTCCCTCTGGAAAGTTAGTTTTTTAATGTGCTCTACAACATTTAAAGGTAATTTGTTTTTTTTGTGATTTTTTTTTTTCACATATATATGAAAAGATCTTGGGTCGATTTAAACATATTTTTCTAGCAAGGCTCTCAGAACTTAAATAGCTGTATTTTCCAATATTCGCTTGACTAAGCATGTTTCAACCATGTGTACTGTGACTGGAATGTATAATTCATGCATATATTAAAGAGAATTACAGTTTAGGATGGATTCATAATGATATTGCCATCAAATTTTATGGGTCAAATGGAGATAATTATATTTTCTGGGGGTATGCTGTTTTTATAAAGGCCTTAGGTATGGAATGAATATCTTATATTCTTTTGCTAATCACAAGGGCCTAGATAGTGGATGACAGATAATACAAGCTCTCATGTTATATTAGTCAGTGTGGAAAGGAATCTTGGAAGCTTTTCCTATTCCTAAATATGTTTATTTCTTAATGAGAAAGTTACACTGTGGCCCTTCAACAGCCCTAAAAAATCAGTTTATCAGCATTCCTCTGAGACTATATATCAAATAAAACACTAAAGTGATTCCCAAAGAGATTTATAATTTGAATTAACTGGGCACTTAAAAAAAAATCTTGAGCAGGACCATTCAAAAAGCCTGATTCTGTAGTTCTGGTGTGGCTTTGAAATCTGTTTTATACAATAAAACCAGGTTTGAGAACCATTGCTTTATTAGGTCATGGGATAGTATAAAATAGAAATAGATATACAATAGAAAATAGAAGCTTTCCCTTTTATTTTGCTTTCTAGTTTGGCTGAAGGAACACATGAAAAAACTAAGTGACACTTTGAAAGCTAGTGTATGACTATATATGTGTGCATGTGTGTGCACGCATATATTTTATATCTATAAATATATCAACATATATATATATATATATATATATATATATATATTAGTTTAGTCATCCAAGGGAGAATTTGGTTGAAACAAAAACAATCTCAATAAACAGTATAAAAATTCATTTAAAATTAAGACTTCTTTTACAATAACCTTTAGATAATAGAGTGATATTTCAATTTTAATTCTATAATTCTGTATTATAAAATTATTTTTAGCCGAGTTGCATTTCTTTATATTTTAAAGTTAAATGTCTTTAAAAGTCATTATTACTATTTTGTGCTGAAAGCAAATATTTATTTTATAGATGAGCTGGGAATAGTAATGAAAATATTTATATATTCTGCTTTGTATTCTTCATTTTAATAAAGAAACATGACATTATTTTTTCTTAAATAACATCACATTTGATTAAATTATTTTGACATAAGTGAATTGGACAAAAATAACCCCAAGTCTGATGAAATATTATCTGCTTGTGTTTGAATATTCACCAGTTTTTAATGGTACATCTAACTCACTGTTAACAATCATGTTTTCTTTTCCTACTAATTAATCTAAGGGCTTTCAATTTTGTTTAGAAATATGTTATAATTTACAGATGATATTTTTTTACTGTAGTTTTAATAACAAAAATACTTCTACTTTATATATATATGGACTTTCGAGTTAACAAAATCTTTCATATACAATCTCATTTACTTCTCACAGCCACACTGTGATGTAGTAGGGGATAACTTTTACTTATAAGTGGTGAAATTAGACTCCATGGGGGTAAATTGTTTGCTTAAGATTGCATTGTTAGTAATTATCAAAACTGAGACTTGGTCTCATTGTTAGAACTGGTTTGTGAATGACAGAAGTTACAAAATCAGACGGCTGCAGTGGCCTCAGAGTGAACGTATATGGGTGAAGACTGAGCACCAGACATTGGGGAGTGAAGTGGTGAACTGGAAAACATAAGTCTTGTCTGTTGGGAGCAACAGGATTTTGATGTAACTTTGAGTTGCTTTGAGCTACTTTGGGCATAGGATTGCCAGATTTGATATTTTGAGACAATCTCAAATTCCGAATTTTATGTGATATGCCTTTGTTTTAAATGTTGGCAACTAATTGGAAAAGGTGAAAGAAATGGTCTAAGCAAAACATATCTGAGACCCAATGCCATTGCTAATTTACAATGTGTGGGGAACCTGACTCTTCATAGAGCTATTGTGCAGTGGCAGAGATCTAAATTCTGTTCTCTAGAATTGACCCAGAATCAATGACCCTAAGGAAGTATTTAGTGACAAATCTTTTTCACTGAACTCCCTTGATTGACTGTATCTTCTTTCATTTGTTTAACCCAAATATATTGCATGCCAACTGTGCACTTGGCACTATGATGCAAAGAAGAATATCATGTAGTGTTTGCCCACAAGTCTCACCCCAAAACATTCTAGAACGCAGTACAAAAGGAGGGGTTGGAAGCAAAACAGAAAACTTTACTGTAAAAGTGCTTTTAAAACTGCATTTTCCTGGCAGGCACGGTGGTTCCCACCTGTAATCACAGGACTTTGGGAGTCCAAGGCAGGCAGATCACAGGTCAAGTGATTGAGTCGATCCTGGCTAACATGGTGAAACCCCATCTCTACTAAAAATACATAAATTAGCTGGGCATGGTGGCACACACCTATAATTCCAGCTACTCAGGAGGCTGAGGCAGGAGAATTGCTTGAACTTGGGAGGCGGACATTGCAGTGAACAGATATTGCACCATTGCACTCCAGCTTCTGTCTCAAAAAAAAAAAAAAAAAAAAACAACACCAAAAAAACCTTTTTATAGCTGTGTATGCATAGGAGAAAGCTTAGTAGATATAGTTTTTGATACTATGGGCAGTATCAGACATCCACTTTTTGGACCATATACTCTACACATATGGGAGGGGGCTACTGTAAACAAGAGTCTATGCTAAGTATATATTTTATGGTTCCATACAACCCTTCCTTATATAGACAACCCTAAGAAGAAAACCGTTACTTTATTTGTGGCTTCCAGCATAGCACTATCTTATTCCTGAACAATTAGAATAAAACTAGATTTAGCATTTAATACTTAATCACAACCTTGATTTTTCTGAATCTGTGTGTTTTCTAATAACAATTTTAGTATTTTTATTACTTGATGCCACAAAGAGCTTTCACACTATACTTTTATTGAAAGATATACTTGCTCTTTGAAAATATGAATGTATTAAATGAGTAATAGATTAAAACTTGAAATTATACATATTTAACTTTAGCATGCCTGCATCTGTAGAGATAACACATATGTGTGTCTATGTGTGTACGTATGTTTTGAGAGAGAGGGGTGTTGGTTTTACATCATTTGATGAATTGCACTGAATCCATTCATGGCAACCCGTTTGTTGTTGTTTTTAGAGATGGAGTTTCATTCTTGTGGCCCAGGCTGGAGTGCAATGGCATGATCTCGGCTTACCACAACCTCTGCCTCCCAGGTTCAAGTGATGATTTTCCTTTCTCAGCCTCCTAAGTATCTGGTATTACAGGCGCCTGCCACCAGACCCTGCTAAATTTTGTATTTTTAAAAAAATACATATAAGTTTCTGGGGTACATGTGCAGAACGTGTTACATAGTTATACATGTGCCAAGGTGGTTTGCTGCACCTATCAACCCATCATTTACAATAGGTATTTCTCCTAATGATAACCCTCTCCTAGGCCCCCCAGCCTCCTTGCTGACAAGGAGCTGTGATCCTTTGGAGAAGAGTCATTCTGGTGTTTGGAATTTTCAGACTTTTTGTGCTGGTTTCTCTTCATCTTTGTGGCTTTATCTGTCTTTAGTCTTTGATATTGGTGGCCTTTGGATGGAGTTTGTGAGTGGACATCCTTTTTGTTGATGTTGATGCTATTCCTTTCTGTTAGTTTTCTTTCTCTCAGTCAGGCCACTCTGCTGAAGGTCTGCTGGAGTTTGCTGGAGGTCCACTCCAGAACCTGTTTGCTTGGGTATCACCAGCAGAGGCTGCAGAACAGCAAAGATTGCTGCCTGTTCCTTCCCCTGGAAGCTTCGTCCCAGAGGGACACCTGCCAGATGCCAGCCAGAGGTCTCCTGTTTGAGGTGTGTGCCCCTACTGGTAGATGTCTCCCAATCAGGAGACATAGGGGTCAGGGACTCACTTGAGGAGGCAGTCTGACCTTTAGTAGAGCTCGAACACTGTGCTGGGAGATCTGCTGCTCTCTTCAGAACCATCAGGCAGGGACGTTTAAGTGTGCTGAAACTATGCCTAGAGCCGCCCCTTTCCCCCGGTGCTCTGTTCCAGGGAGATGGGGGTTTTATCTATGAGCCCCTGACTGGAGCTGCTGCCTATTTTTACAGAGATATCTTGCCCAGAGAGAAGAAATCCAAAGAGGCATTCTGGCCATAGTGGCCTTGTTGAGCTCTGGTGGGCTCCACCCAGTTCGATCTTCCAGGCAGCTTTTTTTTTTTTTTTTTTTTTTTTTTT